GAATAGCCTTCATGTGATTCTATTTGTGTCTTGTCCCAGTCTCCAAGGTGCTGGTAATTTTTGTCAAAGAAGTCTATTTCCCCCTCCTGTTATGTGATATAAATTCCAATAGTCTTGCTGCTTGTGACTACAGAATGCTGTCTTCTAGTCTTCTTTACTTTACATCACAAACCTTTATCTCTTGCTGTATTCAGTTACTATGCCCCAAGTTGTTGTGTCCAACTTGTGGCTATATGCTCCATGCACGGAGTTAGGCATAATAGGTTTTTAGAGGGTTTGTTCTTCATACTTGACATTCATGAGTCCAAATCACCAGCACCTTCTTTCTCACAGTTTCCTAGTCTTGATTTTCTCCTGCCAACCCACATGATGAATTATTTATTTTTCTTCTTTGAGCAGTTTATTCAACTGAGCTCTCTACTGGTGATCTCATGTTCTGTATGTTCACCACCATTGTTCTGGTGGTACTGTCAGCTGCAATTAAAGCCGAAGCCTTTCTCACTTTTTTTTCACAACTTACCTCTGTTATTCTCTTCCATGAGGTCTTCTAACTGCTCTCTGGACCAAGCATAGGTCATATATATACTCTACATGAGAACAATTCCTTTGTTAAATTCCATCATCTATTTTAGAAGAATGGAAATGATGTATTTCTTTAAAAAATTCACTTAGAAGGTTTGAGGTCAGTCTGAATAAGAAGTACTCAAGGGGATGCTAAGAAATTTCTTATTTTTCTTAATGTTTGATACAGAGCCACATCAGGCTGAAGCGACATTTCCTTAAATCTTCATGCAACCCCTTTATTCTCTTCTGTTTGTAATAATGGCTTTGAGTTTGTTCACTTCTTCATGCGCAACCATAACTGTGTCACATATGCCTCCTTTCTACCTTTCTGAGGGCTCTCGAATCATATACTATAGGCAACTATTGACCCTACCTACAAATGAATTTGTGTCAACCATGGAATATGCAATCAGGTTTGCTGAAGCTTTAGCTAATTGGGGATGAGGAACCATAATTGGTTTATCTCAAGTCCCAGACTCAAGCATAATCTTACCCAAGATCTCAGACTCCCAGGTAAGCTTTATTCATTCACTTCACAAATTGTTTAAGTTCTTACTGGGAAAGCTATCAGGGTAGAAAGCAGCCTTTCAGAAATGAGGAGAACACATCCTCTGGCTTCTTGAAGCTAGAAGTTCCAAAATAATCACTTTCCTCCAAAATCAGCAGCATAGAGTCAGGGCCTTGTCTTTCTTAGTCCCATCCTCAGTTCAGGTACTACAGGAGAGGATTCTCTGTCATTTCTCCTCCATTTTTTGCCAAAGGTGAGCTGTTTTGGCCTCCTCTGAACTTAGGGCACTATCTGGACTGAAGTGTTTTTGGGGGTGTGTGTGGCAATGGTCCCATCCTATTACTTCCTTTCCTGCACTAAGAAACGTTGGTTGTTTTAGAAGAGGTTGGGGAGAAGAAGAGATAATCCTCAGCGCATAAGGTACCTGTATTAGCCAATAAAACAATTCATGCTTTTTATTTATTTTTTATTTTTTATTTTTTAATTTTTTTTGGTTTTTTTCTCCAGTACCGGGAACCGAACTCACGACCTTGCGCTTGCCAGGCAGGCGCTTTTTGCCGCTGAGCTAAATCCCCAGCCCCAATTCATGCTTTTTATTAGAGATCAAATTTCTACATATGACCCAAGATAAAGCATGCATTCGACTGAAAAAGCAGGTCTTCTGGTCCCTCACTTTAGCTATAATCTCAGTGGATCTTCTTATGTCTTTTTAATATGCATAAATCTCTCCTTTGAAGGATTTTAATGTAAATTCTCTAGATTGAAGGCACTATCTATACCCTATGCAAAATTCTGTGGCCAGCAACCATGCACTAATACATACTTATAGCATGTTGGCTATTCTTGAATATTTTCACACTGTTATGGTTCTATCCCGTCTATTCTGGATTACCTTACCAAGCATCAGTTGTTTTTCTCCAACATGTTTGTGTTACTTGTGCTTTTTTGTGTAGGTTCAGATTCATTAAATGTGTATGAATCAATGCAAAAATGGAGGCAACGGAGAGATGTTTCTGTACAAACTAAGTTATATGCTTTGGAGAAACATTCAACAAGGTAGACGTAAAAGATAGGGGATTAGAAAGTACTTATGAAGGATTATGCACTTAGCTTGTTTAGTTACGGTCTTTTAAGTTCTTACTTCGTTTTAAAGAAACTAAACTTGAAAGTCAAATCTGATGTATTATGGACAAGTTTTATCTAAGCATAATTGCACAGAGCTCAGTCAACACACAAGAAAAGGTCTTGCCCTTACATCCAAAGATTAGTTACAGAATATAGCGTTACATGAAGTAATTTAAAAAGAATTTTCTGAAAAACAAGGCAGAAAACGTATATGTACGTTGGGGACAGTGTTTAGTAACCCTTTGCTTTAATTGATTTTAAAATTTAACTAACCAGTATCAAATCCAAATCCCATTGGCTAAAAAAGAATTTTTTGTACAGAGTCTTATTTAAGATTTTATGATGAAGCAGACAAAGGAAAAGGAGGAGGAGAAGGAGTCACCCAGTGCTCTTCAAATTGTTAAATGATTAGCCTTTTATTTTTTTAAGTTTTACATTTTCGTACACTGACATTTCTGTAAAGGGAAATGAAAATTTCATGACAACGTGATGTTTCTCCACGTTTCTAAATGCTCACTCTTAATTTCTAAAATGTTCTTACTCCAATATCTCTGTTGATTAATCATAGATATTTTTGTGATTAGCATGTCTGAAAACTACAATGACTAGACAATTCTGGTGCCTGCCTGAGTACAAAGTCCCAAATCTAGTCCTAGAAAGTACCATAAAAAGAATCAGCTTCATTCTACCTGGACAGCATAACTCAGCCACATAAATTTTGATGGCAACAGGTGCATGAAAAGTGGGAAGCTTATTGAGTCATCAAAGAAGTTATATACAGACAAAGTATTAGTGGTTCCAAGCATGATGTTTTAACTTTCATGCCCACACAAAACTCTTGTGTACCTTAAGTCTTCATAGTGTTGTGAATGTTTAAAATTCCTGACTTTATGTCTCTCTTGCTTTCTTTTGGATTTCTGGCACCTCTCTAATATATTGGTTTCACAGTGTTCCATCTCCAAGTGTTTTAACTGCAAAGTGTCCCTCATTGTGAAAGGAGTAGCCAGGAAGCATAAGTTAGTATATCTACTTTATAGATTGTATGAGTGGGACACTGAATCTCAGAGCCATTAATTGCTTCATCTAGGACTATGCAAGAAGTCAACAGAAGGTAAATTAAGGCTTTTTGTTTTAAAAAATAATTTCTTTATTTCATTCGTCTTATGGAGCACCTTCTGTGTTCTAAGAATTACCTTCAGGCTAGAGCTACAAAGCCTAGAGCTACAGTCATACTCCATTTATCGAAATCTCAGGGCATTTTGAATGATGCCAACAAATATCTAGCTACCAAAGTTCATTGTGTTAAAGTACATAATATACTACATGGACTATTCAGCAATGTGCTAGGGGCTAGGGGTATATAGATCAGTGGTAGTGTGCTTGGCATGCATGAGGCTCTGGGTTCAATTGCCGGTATAAAAATAAAAATAATTTAAAATTTTCTATAGGAGCTTAGAGAAAAGACGTCAGTTTTGCACCTAGAAAGAAGTGAGAAATATCCAGCAGCTCACAGAGCATTTTACATGTGACATGGTGCCTTTAAAAAGTTAAATGTATTTAGGAAGTGAGAGTGGGAAGATATTACAAGGAAAGGACATACTATGTACAGAGAGGAGAGGCATGCAAATCTATAGGCTGCTGAAGGAATGACAAAATGGTCAGGGTAGCCAAATTACAGTGTGTGCCAAGGATGGTGTAGGGTGTAGTGAGTGATCTTTCATATTCCTGGAAACATATATGAGTTCAGGTGGAAAAGGACATTAAATGCTGAAGATCTTTCACTGGAGGGGTAGTAGGACAAGAGTCATGGTTGTGTCTTAAATTTTTTTAGTCTACTAGTACATATTTTTTCTCACTTAGCACATGGAAACACTATAGTATTTACTTCAAAATGTCATAATGGGAATCAAGTTTTTTTTTTGTAAGTTGTGAACTTTCACTTGGTATTATTCATAAGGTATTTTAAGCTATCATCATTACACTTCCTACTTCCCTTCTTTCTACCCATCCTTCCTTCCTTCTTTTTCCTATCTACTGTTTTGTATTAGTCAGCTTTTTAATCTCTGAGACAAAATATCTTACAGAATCCATTTCAAGGAGAAAAGGTTTCTTTTGGCTCACGGTTTCAGGGGTTTCAGTCCATGGTCACTGGCTCCAAGGCAGAAACATCATGGTGGAAGAGCATGGTAGAGGAAAGGTGCAGGCATGTCAGACAAGAAATAAGGGAATGGGCAAGGGGAAGCCAGAGATAGAGAAAGGAAGTGGAGGCAGGAATATACTCTTCCAGGTCATACCACTGAGACCCATCTCTTCCAACTAGGCTTCACCTGCAAACAGTCCTTTTATCTATGAACTGATGAATGGATTAAACTACCGATGAGCTCAAAGTCCCCATGATCCAATTAGCTTTCAAAAACTCTAACTTTAAACACAGGAGAATACTGGGAAACATTTTAGTTACAAATCATAGTTAATTTAATTTGTATGGTTTGATAGAGGAAGAAATGAGACCCAAAGAATAAAATGAGGCAAGGATTATTTAGCACTGAATATTCGCCCATGAGTTTACTTCAGGAAAACTTTATATTTAAGTGGTGAAGACTGTGGAATGAAAAAAAATTGTTTTGTTTATATGTTTTCTACGGTGGTGACATGAGTCCAATCTAAAACTTTGAGACTAAACTGCAGGTTGGAAGTGGGTGGGAAGGAAATTGGTAAGGGAGCACATTAGCCTGACGCCTCATATTCTTTGCATAGTTATACTGGTCTGAAAAGTTGGTAAAGCTGTCTCTCATAACAGAGCTCACCAACTCCAGAAAAAACTTTTGCTGCTAAATAGTCTCCTCAGTGCTCTTTTCATGTCTTTGTTCCTTAGACTATAGATAAAGGGGTTCATCATGGGAGTTATAATTGTATACATGATAGCAGATACCTTACCCCTTTCTGCTGAGTAGGCAGAATAAGGGAGAAAGTAGACTCCAACAATGGATCCATAAAAGAGGGCCACAGCTGAGAGATGGGAGCCACGTGTGGAGAATGTTTTCCACTTTCCTCTGGTGGATGGAACCCTAAGCACAGTGCTTCCAATAAAAGCATAGGTTACAAGAATGAAAGTGACGGGGAAGAAGATAACTGCTCCCCCAATGGCAAAGATCATCAAGTAGTTGATTTTGGTATCTGAACAAGCAAGCCTTAATACTGGTTCCAGGTCACAGAAGAAATGAGGTATTTCTATCTGATTGCAAAAAGTCAAGCGGCTCAGCAGACTCAGATGCAGTACAGAGACAAGGTTGGAGACAACCCAAGGAATCACAACCAAAAAGGCACATTGCTTTGTATTCAGTAAAGTAACATAGTGTAATGGGTGACAGATGGCAATATACCGATCATATGCCATGGCTGCCAGGAGAAAATTGTCCAGGTCTACCAGGAGCATAAAAAAATACATTTGTGTAAGGCATCCTTCAAAGGAGATGGTTGGATGTTGGCTACGAATGTCTGCCAACATCTTGGGGACTGTTGTGGTTGTGAAGCAGATGTCAGTGAAAGATAGGTTGGCAAGAAAGAAGTACATGGGGCTGTGGAGGTGAGTGTCACTGACAATGGCCAGGATGATAAGTAAGTTTCCTACCATGGTGATCAGATACATGCATAGAAACAATATGAAGACAATCTGCTGCTGTTCACATCCCACTGTGAGTCCCAGAAGGAAGAATTCAGAGACAATAGTTTGGTTTCCTTGGTGCATGTGGCTGCTGTGTTGAAAAGGGAAAAATTTCAACTTCATTGTAAAGTGGTAACAACACAAAAAAACCCATCAATGCATTCTATGAAATGAAAAAATAGAATCAGTCCTTGGAGCCAAACAGCCTTGGATTATATTCTGCCCCTACTAAAACATCAGCTTCACAAAGGTATTGATTTTATCTTTTATGTTCAGTGTGTACATCACAACTAATGTCATTGCCTGGTGCATAGTAAGAAATTAAATAATATTGGTTGGATTTAAATAACTATGAGTGACTAAATAAAATTTCATATTCTGGATTTATGATGCACTCTCTTCATGCCTTTATCTGTGCTTTTGTGAGCCTATTTCATCAACTTTAAAAACCTGGAGATTGCTGAGCATGGTGGCACACACCTAATCCCAGCACTCAGGAGGCTGAGGCAGGGGGATCACTGCAAGTTTGAGGCCAGCCTGGGCTACCTAGTGAGTTCAAGGCCAGCCTGAAGGACATGGTGATACCCTGTTTCAAAAAATAAACAAACAAACAACAAGAAGAACAACCAAACAACAAAAATTGAAAACTGGGGGATTATCATACAGGGGCATTGTGAGGATTGAAGAATACATGTAAAACATCCAGGCCTCTTTTAGCCATTGCTGCACAAATAGTATCTGCTATCACTCACTAATTGGGAAGAATCACAGACTCTAAAGGCAAAATGAAACCTCCAGAGATGCAAATCAGCCACTGGCTTTGGGCAGGTGATGGTCAAATATACACGTGATGATTTGACTGATCCCTGTATAACACTCCAGAGAGAGAGAATCCACAGTCCTTTGCCTGCAGCAGATAAAAAAATGTATCCTCTAAGTAATTTGCTTCCTTCTCACATCTTCCTTAAATCTTTCCTTTTTTAAACATTTCAACAAAGAGGAAGTGGTCTTTTATATTAAAAGCTGCAGGAAACTCATCTAGGCATGTCCATTGATTTATATAACATAAAGGTAGGGTATAGTGTCCTTAACAAGCTCATTGATAGTGTCCTTTACTAGGTCATTGACAGTGGAATTGATTGGGTATAAACCAGAATGAAGAAAGTTTATGGGTAACACTTTAAGAGCTTACATTTATTTAAAGGTTACTATGTTGTAGGTAGTGTGCTGCTAAGTGCTTAATGTGAACTACCTTATCAAATATTCACCACAGTCTTATGAGATCAAATGTCCAATTTACAATGAGGAAATCAGCCAATGAAGAGGGTAGGTTTATCAAATTGATAAAAAGTAAATGTAGTGGAGTCAGAATTCCAAGCTCGATCAGTGGGATTTCAGAGACCTCTTGATTGATCGCAAGGCTCAAATAATTCCATATTGTTGATGTTTTCATATGTGTGCGTGGGGTGCTGGTGGAACCAGTAATTAGTATATGTTGAGCCTCACCTATGTGCTGGTACATGAGAGCTTGTTCAGTCAAAGTCATAGCTAGTAAGTGCTGGCGCTGGGCTTTGAATATTGATTCCAAAGCATATTTTTTTTTGCCATATCTGTGTGAGTTGAAATTAGAACAAATGGGCTTACAAATGGGAAGCTTTTTCTTTGCTTTACTTTGATTTGTACCTTATCTGGACTGTTCTATATGTTGCTTGGAGATCCATTTTACATGGTTGTCACTTACTTGAAGATCTGCCGTATCTTTATACTACCTTCTCAGTCTAACAACCATAGATTACCGTTGTGTGAATTCACAGACTTTGACTGGTTAGAATTGTTCATTTTACAAAAAAGTTATTGGTAGCACTAATGAATCATTGCAACAAGATTACAAAACAATGTTGCACTTATTTAATAACACAATTTTTCCTAAGAATCATAGCAGTACTCATTTGCATGCTAACAAATAAATGTACTAATTATAAATCAAGCAAGATCAGGTCTGGTGGGACCTCTGCTAGGCAACACTTAGCCATTTCATATGTACAGAATGTACCAAAAATAATAAAGTGGCATATTATTATGTACATGCAATCTAAGCTTTTCATTAATGCAGACTGTATTAGGAAAGTTTGACAGCCCACATTTCTAATTTGACCTTCAGGGCATCATATCAGCTCGCTCCATTTAACTGATTACTCTCATCTACTCTCCCAAACCTGGCACCATCTTTTACAACCAAGCATATATCTATCTTCAGTCTTTCAACCTCTATATTCAAGGCATTAAGTTGGCACAACACTTTTGCAGTGAACATGTTTAGCAAATATTTGTGTTTGGGGTTGAAGTCTCTCTCCTATATGGAACTTACCCATATGTTTTGTAGCTGTTTTCATGTTATTCCAGCAAGAAACAGTTTGACTTTATCTACTTTAAAATGTTGGCGATTTTTCCAGTCATAATTGAAAGCATTCCTCCCCCCAATATAAAGACAGAAAAAAAGGGCTGGTTTTGTTGTCTCTGCTTCTGGTTTCAGAAAAAGAATCACCGTAGGGCTCAGGACACAATTCTCAAGGTTCCTCATTAGAAACCACCCTCAGTGCCATCCTCAGTGGACCAATTCCTCTCTACTGGGTTATATTGATGTTCATTGATTTCCTGTGAAGTAAAAAAATTATAGTTATATATAACATAGAAGCGAATGTCATATTCCTGCCGTATTTTAAGTCTAGTTAGAAAATGAAAATATGATCTTTTGGAAGAAGTTTTCCCCCTTCCTCATACCTAAGAGTTGCCTTTTGCATTTCCATGTAATGTTATAATAAACTAACTCAAATAATATTTGGAGAACCTTAATAATTAAAGCAATATTAGTGTGCTTATTATTTACCAGGAACAATTCTAAGCCTCTTGTGTGTATTAACTCATTTATTTTCAAAATAAAATTGGGAGGTAGGAAAAATTATGATTCTTTTCTCACAGATGAGGAAACCAGGGACAGAGGAGTTGAGGGCTCTAGCCTAAGACATACAGATACGTTAGGTGTTGGAAAAAAATTCATACCAAGAAACTCGTTTCAGATCTCATATTCTTAAACATTGCATCACACTGTCTCTTAATATTCATGGTTTAGCTGTAGAGGAAAATGGCATGTAGACAACATGACCAAAACTTATATTCTCAAACTTCTTTCTTATCATCCTCCCTGCCTGTAGTGTCAGCAAATGTCTTTATCACTTCCTCAACTCTACCTCCAAAACTCTACCAATAAGTCTAGTGACAACTGTACTTCTTAGCCTAGGGACCACGAGTTTAGGAAAGGAATTTCTCTCTTTCTCCTTCATGCCATCATGGAAAGATACCCTTTCTACTAAAGGATAATCCTTCACTTGTATTCTGATCCTGTTTTCATTTGCCTTCTAGAAGACTTATGCTGCTGGTTAACTTTTGGTGCCTTCTCTACTGTACTCCTACTCTGGCTTTTAAACATGTTTAGTCTTCCCAATGTTTAAATATACCGACAAGCCAAATTCTTCTGGAACACTCAGCACCCCTCAGTTACTGAATCACCTCTGTCCTACCTTTAAGCACACATTTCTCGAATTATTTACATCTGTCTCCATTTCTTCACCTTATCCCAGTCCAATCTGTCTGCCCCACATGACTCCACTGAAATAGCTCTTGATAAGGTCACAATGACACATTGCTAAATCCACTCTTCCTGGCAACTCAGCAGCATTCACCTTAGATGATTGCCCTTCTTAATACACTCTTTTTCCTTTGGTTTGCAGAACACTTACTGTACTGGGTTTCCTTCTGTCTCTCTGACTATTCATTTTCCATCCCTGTTTATAGTTCTTCCATGTATCCTTTAAACGTTTGTTGTGATATTACAGAGCCGCCCTTGTTCGCTCAAGTTTTTCCCTACTGTTTACTTTCATGACCTCTATTTCCATCTTTAGGCACATGCTTCTCAATTTCTTATCTCTGGCTCTTTCTTTTGAGCTCCAAAACGATACATATAACTTACCGTTTGCTATCCCTGCTTGTATGTCTCATACACACTTCAAATTCAGTATTTTCAAAGCCAAATTCATCTTCTAGAAGCTCTATTACCTGAAACAAACTTTAGCTCTCCCCCATTTTTCCTCACATCAGTAAATTATAGCATTATCAGTTTCTATCATTTTAAGAAAATAATTTTATATTTATTACATTTTAGATACACATAATGATTACATTCATCATAGGAACTTTGTACCTTTATAAGATAGAGCTTGTTTTTTTTTCTTTTTTACCATTCCCCTCCCCTCCCTTTAATCCCTCTTCCCCTCCTTATTTACAAAAGGTTTGTATTGATTTTTCTCTCTTTTCTCTTCTTTATCTTTTCCTTTCCTTCATTTCTTCCTCCTCCCTCCCCAGGTCCTCTTCCCATTTGAACATTTTCTTCCTATTTCACAGTATTTATTATAAAATTTGGTCCTTAATTACACTTTACTGAAAGTGTTTTCTCACACCAGACAAACAATATGATATTTACACATATGTGTCTAATTTATTTCACTTCTGAGTATGGTCTCAAGGTGCATCCATTTCCTAGAAATTTCTCAAGTATATCCTTTATGGAGATTTTGAGACCTCTCATCTCCCTTTCTGAAGAGCTTAAGTTCTATAGACCCTGCACCTTTAATATATCTCAAATATCCTGTGAAGATAATGGAGTGGTAAACACCAGCAAGTCAACCACTCTGAGACAGAATACACAATCTGGACTATAACAACTTGGGGAAGAAAAGAAAATGAGAGATGGTTCCCTGGGGCCCAGGAAGGCTCTGAAGGCAAAGTTGGAGCCCATAGGGGAAGTGAACAGACAGACCTCAATGCAGAAAAGGGAGAGGGAGAAATGCACTTTATTTCTGATTCCTGACATATACCATGAGAGACGAGGCTCAAATCTAGAGACACAGTGACGCTGGGTGACTCCAGAAGCCTCCGCAGAGAAATGCACAGTGGAGTGGAGCAGTGGATGCTATGAGCTACAATAGCTACAACAGCTGAGCCCAGGTATCTCCTGCGGAGGGTGCTTGGTCCGATGCCAT